GGCCCTGTTCCCATAGTAGCAAAATAGGCTTATGCGCACAGTGAGTCTCTGACACACCCTTGCCATTTCCTGTACATTAGCCTACAAGCTTCTTGCCACGAGTGAAACAGCCATACTACTACATCTTGACATTGGCTTTGTACTGCTTAACTTCTATTATGTCTTGACTTGAATTGAAAATCTTAAGTACTCAAATATTCTACTCTGCTACACTTAATATATTATCTACTTCAACTTTTATTATGTCTTAGTTGACTAAAACTATGTCCAGGTTGACTGTTATTATGTCCAGGTTGTCTATTATTCATGTTTAGATTGATTAATATTCTTGTCCAGAATGATTTTCATTCATATACAGATTGATTTTTATTTTGTCCAGATCGATTTATATTTATGTCCAGGTCGATTTATATTCATGTCCAGATCGTTTTATATTCATGTCCAGATCGATCTTTATTCATGTCCAGCTCGATTTTTATTCATGTCTAGCTCGATTTTCATTCATGTCCAGCCTAATTTTCATTCTTGTCCAGCTCAATTTTCATTTATGTCCAGATCAATTATTATTCATGTCCAGATTAACTTTTATTCATGTCCACTTAGATTAACATTCATGTCTACTCTGCCTAAAATTAAATCCCTTCTGCCTAAATAAAAGTTCAAACGTCTACTAGGAGATGAAAAATCCTATATGTCTTTTTTCCCCAGGAATATTACTAGGGCTGCAGATTAGTAGGTATATGAATATACTGGGGCAAATTTTTGCTCAGTACTGAGTTTAATCCTTACTATAAGTCAAAAAAGGTTTTATTGATTAAACGTATATTATTGTTTAAATGTATGTAGGAAAAAATAAAAAATTATATTATAATTTTTTTATTTTTGAAATGTTTAAGATATTTTTTTTCTTTTTTTTTAATTCCTAAAAATGTTTAGGTTTTATATAAACCTGTTTAAACTATTTAAACTATAATATCCTTTTGTAATTAATTTAAAACAGGCTAGGAGGTACGACGACGCCCAGTTCAATAGAAAATCAATGAAGTTAGATTTTTTTTAGAACGCTTGACAGTATTAAGAATAATAATTAAATTAGTGGTTTACCACATAATTTATTATTATGAATCAATACTCTATAACTATTACTGCGACGGCGGTGATACTAGCTGTGTTTCTGACGATCATGCTGTAATATTCGCCATTTTGCTTTATCGCGTTTTGACTCGTTGCATACTTGCCAATTACTTACCATAGACGATCAAAGTGGCTTGAATATTCCAGGTAAACTCTCCCACTGACTGCCACTTTATCAATCTACTAAGTTTTTTCTTCTATTGTAGACTTTTGGGAGCTTCCAGAAAATATATGGCGAAACATCACCAAGTACGATTTTCGGTACTATTATCAAAGTGGCTGTACATGCTCCAAAGCCCAAGCACATCAAGTGTACTCACAAGATATCCAACGACTGCTGGCAAAGGTGGAAGCTGGTAGTAATACCTACAAAACATTAAAAAGTTGCAAAAGAATCGCGAAGGTACGACATTTTAATGCAGTCGTCTATAGAACAATCTATATTTATAGAATAATCCAAAAATATAGAATAATAATTATACTATAGTTTAATTTTTATACATTTAATAATTGATGTTTAAATTTAATATATAATATTTTTTTCTTTAAAATAATCTTTAATAATTTGTTTTTTATAAAATCATTTTCTTTAACCCAAGAATTATCATTATTATCATAACCTTTCTATTTAACAAAAAAGGAATATTTATTATTTTCTATTTTATATTCAATTATGTTTTCTATTTCATATATATTATCATCTTTATTTAGGTTTCTCATATTTTCTATTTTCTTACTTGATTTATATAATCTTTTTCTTCTTTTTTTAGTAACTTTTTTTAATTCGGGATAGTCTAAATCACTTTCTTCAGTTATATTATTTTCATTTTCATTGTCATTATTATTATTATTAGTAGAATTTATATTTTCATCAATAATCATATTTTCATTTATATCTAATTTTAAAAAATTATTTTGTATTTCTGTTAATATTTTAAATTTATTAATCTGTTTCATTTCATTATTATAAACAATATTAATTAATCTATTTTCTTATGGAAATCAAAGTTATCAGTTTTCCATAATTTATAATGTTCTTATGTAATAATATTAAATGTATTTGAAAATTTTTCTATATTTTTTGATAAAAATGCTACTTTAATTTGTAAATTTACATATTTAATATCATCTGTCTTTAATGTTGAGTTATAATTACTAAATCTTTAAACTTATTAAATAATTCTTGAAATTGATTTTCTATTTTACTTCTAAAACTTCCAAAGACTTTATTATAATATATTTCTTGTTCATTTAATTTTTCATTTACTTCTTTTCTAATTAGATAGAAAAAGTTATTATCATCTAAATCATATCCTTTATTATTGCATAAATCTTCAAATTGTTCTATAAATAAGTGTAACCTCCATCAATAGCTACACAATCTTGCTTTAAAATTTTATTATATAATTTCATATTTAGAAACATCATACCATCATTAACTTTTCCACATAAATCACTATAAGATACATATATTACTATATCATTTATATCTGAGACAACTTGTGTTCTAATACCAGAACTTTTTAATTTATATGATCCCCCTTTTTGTATTGATATATTTGGTTTATCGTAAGAAATAGAGCTATCATGTCCATCTAATAATAGTGTAATATTTTTAAAATTTTTAGGGTTTTTAATTAATACTGATAAAATTCTTATTTTCATATTTGAGAACATATTTAATAAATAATAATTAACTTTTTTATTTAACGAATCATAATTTGTAATCCACAATTTCTTATAAAATGCATAAAAGCTAGTATATGGAATATAATTTTTTATATCTTTACTAGTATATCCAGATGTTAAATAAAATAATAACATTAAACCTTCTTCGATTTCTATACATGGTGATAGGTATTCAATATTTGAATATAAATTATTTAAGAAAAAAAATACACTTGTATAACCTAATTTTTGTAATAAATCTTCTTTTACTTCATCTATAAATTTTATATTTTTTATTTCAGTTCTATGCTTATATTTATAATTTATAATTTTCCAGTTTTCATTTAAAAAAAGACTATTGATTTAAAACTAATTTATTAATCTTATCTTTTAATTCATTTTTTAAGTTTATTATATTTTCATCATTTTTATTAGTATATTCATTCATAATTTCAATGTCCGATTCTATAATTAAATCCTATATTGGGTAATAATTTTAAACTATATGTAAAATTCAATTTTAGAATTAAAAATATGTAACTTAGCAACAAATAAAAAAACATTTTAGTACTGAAATAATCAATGCATCTTTTTTTGAAAAAGATAAAGATGGATTCATTTTATAATTTACTAGCAAATTGTATACATTTAGAAATCTTTATTTTTTCACTTAAAATTGACAGTGACATAATAAAATTCCTTGTTGTTATGTTGGAAAAAATACTAATTTATTACTGTGTATTATATTTGTTTAAAAGTCCCAGAAATAGAAAAAAAAAGTTACCATGGTAACATAATATATTTGAAGTAATATTTCTTCTATAATAAAATAAAAAAAATAAAATGTTTATAATTATATTTATTCAATAATATTATACTATAAAAAAAATAAAAATATTGTATTTTTTATTAACTATAGTAATTATTTGTTCTTCTCTGTGCGAGTTGCTAATCTTTTAGTCGAAGCAGGAGGCATTCATAAACCACGCAAACAAATACTTCTGGGACCACGAGATCACCAAGATGTCCACGATCTTTGCAACGGATTTAATTGTAGAAGTAAGATAGTTTTGCTATTTAAGTCTGCCGTTACACTTTTTGCTTATTTACTTTTATGTTTGCTGCTAATAGAAAGAACTTGAAGTTATGGAGCGAGTAACGGCTGTAACTACGCTGCAATCACATAATCAAAAGTCATTATCAAGAAGCAACAGCAGTAGCAATAGCGGCAATGAGCAGAATATCAATGATAATAGCAACAGTGGCGGAAGCACCAGTATCAATGAAATCAAAATATTGAAAATGCAGGAGAAAATGTGAGTACGATAGATGCACACAGTCAACATTTGGAAGCCCCGTTGGCAGAATTAGCGATAAAGCTTATGGCTCTAACTATATTGAAAACAGCGATCGAAAAGGAAAGAAAGACAAGAAGACGAAGCAGTTGGTCTGGTATGCACTACTCAAACCATATATTTTGGTCAAACTTTCTGCTGATGTGTTACGCTAACGCTTGCTTTTATTTAGACGCCGGCAAAACGACCAAACAACCCAACAGCCAACACTAACTGAACAATTTGCTGCATATAAGAAAAAAATTCTTGGGGATGCGCTTACCGGCCATGAGTTCAGTATGGAGAATGGTGTTCCCGAGTTGATGTATGTTTATTGATGCTTCCTTTTCATTTACTTATTCTGGTAGATATACTTATTACTTGGCTTATATGGTTATCACCGTCTCTTTATAGGGCTTTGAGTGATGTCATGCTATTAAAGCCTTCCCGATTCAATAAATACACACATGCGCATTTCACTGATCAAGTCCTGAGCGAATGGCACGACAACACTTGGAAAAGCCTACTCGCTGATGTAGAAGAAGAAGCTTCCAGGATTGCCAAAGTTCTTGTTGATTTCATTTATGTATGTATTTACGACATTGGGTTCTCGCTAATGGTTTAATAATATATTCTTTGAACAAAAACAGGACTTGAAAAAGAAACGCATCAGGACACGTGAAGCCGTCCAGAAGTTAGTTGCCATGAGTATTGACAAGAAAGATTGCGAAGCACAACTTTTAATGGGTTTATCGAATTTGTAAGCTCTTATTGTGACTTGTCATGTATTGTGAATGGCTATTAGGTTTGTGCTGATGTCCGCACCTATCTAGGATCCAGAGGCTTCCGTCGAAAACGCTCTTAACTACTGTCACCATGGGTGAAACAGAATTATGGAGTGGTGTTTTCGATCCCATTCTCTCTGCTTTGTTGTTGGATCCTGATCGTAATGTGTCATTGAGATGGTAAGTACATATCTTTTCCGTTTTACATGATCATACACTATGCATGATTTCTTTATTACTTATTCTTTTTGGTTATTACCGATCTGGATGGATATTCGGTCATATATAGGACCAACGTTGTTCCAGATGACGGTAGTGCTAGCGAAGTAGTCCGTGTGCAACCCGACGCAATGATTTGCGAGATTGATCAGCTTAGTTGGGGACGTCCATTGGGATACGGCGAGGCCAAATTGGCAGAACCAAGTCCAAATATCGACTGTTTGGCCAATGACATCTTGAGATTAGTGGTTATGAATGCCAAAGCTGTTGAAAAATCCAAATTGTGTGGTGTTCTAGGGTTCCAGATCCATGGTAAATGTTAAATCCTGGTGTTTTATGTGTGCTACACCCTAATTCATTTTTTGTATATGGCTGTTGATTCTTTTTTTTTTCTAGGTTATAACCTCAAAGTTATATCACTCAGAAAATGCCAAACAGTTCGTTTTATACCATGACTGAAGTACTGGCAATTACTTTTCCAAAGCCAATACAAGAACTGGACTCATTCACAAGCAGAAGCAATATTGAATCGTTACTTTCTCTATACGAAGTTTTTTGGGGGAACTGCCTCAAACAATAAGATCGAGAAGTTGAACGAGGAAATTCGCATCCACCACGCCTCGACATATCGACTATAAAAAATATCAAGGATGGATCCATGGACCGTTCGCGTGAATGCACACTAGACTATTGATAACCAACCTACATTGTATATATTTTCTCATCCTCATTCTATTCTGTTTTCCTTTATCATGATGCTGATCATTTTTCACTGGCACGACTTATATTACTTTTCCTTACTTCCCCTCATCCCATGATGGCTACCAGTTTCTCTTATCAGTATTTCACAATGAGCATCACCTTCAGTTCCTTCTCATTTATCACCATCCTTCTTTTCTCCCAATCATCCACTGTATCATGGCATAGCTAGTGTCAATCCAAAGATATCATTCGCAAGCCGAGAATCGACTATCTTTAAAAAATACAGGAGTATCATATCAAAGATATCACAAGCATATTCAAACAACCATCAAATTTGACGACACGTTATCCCTTCCTTAGAAAATGAAGCAAAGAAAGGTGACTTTGGGCCCATATAATCTGTATTTTCGCTTGAAACTAGTGTGAAATATCAGAACGGAAGAGATGATATTTGTAGACATACCCCCATTTTATCATTCTCATCATACCAAGTGACTTCTTCTAGTATCACTACTGAATGTATTCGGAAGTGTGGATAAGGTGCAAAATTGTAAGCTGTATGCAAGTGTTCTTAGTGAAAAATCAAAGAAGCTTAATAAAGACACAAAGGGAACTGCTACGGACACACCATTCTATCAATAAATTTTCGAGGTTACACGCGAATCAATGGTGCGTCGCAAGCATGGAAAAAGGATCTTATATTCTGTGATATCTTCATTTGTGGGATGTCCGCAACAAGCTATGATAAGAGTATGATTCAATACATAGAGAGATGTCAGAATAAACATAACTTTTTTTTGTTATTCCTTCCAGTTCTACATCAAACAACAGCGTAGGTGTGGTATGCAATTCATTTCGCGCATAGTACCAGTTTCTCATTGGAAATTTGGTCTCTAACCAGACGTTCCTATGTGGCGATTCAGTCATATAAAAGAGAGTGACTATAACTGTACTTTCTTTATCTCTATACACCGATTTACAGATATACTCCACGTCATGGATAAATCGGTTGGCAGTGTGGTAAATCGAAATAAACAAAGACAAATAAGTCGTTTGAGAATGGATTATATTCAAAAGATTGAACAAAGTACAATATCAGCTATAGAAACTATCTTCTTTTATATCTAACTTTCAAACATTGTTTGAGAACTCGGTCTTAACGGAGAAACAGATCTGAAGGTGGAAAGCTTATCAACTTCTTTGTCAGCAAGGACCTTACTGGTGCTTTGCTGTAAGAACGAATAAAAAACTTTTATGATGGTTTGAGATGTGTTCTTGGACGGTTGTTTCATACTTGGTTTCTTTACTGAGTTTTATGAAGGATTCACATTTCAATCCAGCTAGGTGCATGTGCGCAACCGTGTCCCTTATTGGATCCCGGTGCGGTAAAGAGAAACCTTCTATCAAGACATCTGTCTGTACCGGATCTTAGTTTACGACATCACCCCCTTCCAGGTTGCGCTCAGGGGCTGCTTTTGCCTGGTATATTGTATTATGGGAGATATTTGTAATTGTGGTATTAGGTAGGATATATTCAGTAGGTGTAATACCTATATAAATTTACTTATTTTTGTACCCGAACAGATTTGCGCTTGACAAAACGTGTCTTTTCACCACTGTGGTTTCTTTTAAGAGACTGTGTGGTTTTGCTGTTATTTTTGTGTTGGATTTGTTTTAGTGCCTGTTTTTGCTTGGGTTGTTCTCCAAGCCGTTTCCAATAATTGTTTATTGTGGCACGTTGGGTGAATGCTTCATTAGATTCCCAAGTATCTTCATCTGGTTTGTAACCCTTCCAGCGTACTTTATACTCATATGTGCCGGGTGCCGTCTCTCTATGAGCCACTATAGACTCCACCTCAAATAGTTCATCACAAGGTATAATTTCATCTTGAGAAATTAATTTTAGCTGTGATGGTGCATATTCGCGTGCCATCACCTCGTTTTGCTCATTCTTAATTATGTATGCGCCACCTCTGTTGCGTCTTACTACTGTGTATGGACCTTCATATTCTGGGTCTAGTTTTCCTGCCTTTTCTCTCACTTTAATCATTACATGACTGTTAGGTGGGAATTCTATTAAGTGATGCTTTTTATCGAACTTGTTTTGCTGTGCCTTATTAAGAGCTTGTACGCGTTCGCTTATTGCAGGAAAAACTATATTCTCCATATTCCTGATGCGTTCCATGAGCATTTTTTCTGATGCAGGTGTTAATTGACCGTCTTTTGTATAGTCATCGAAACCATTCAACTTTCGTGCAAACATTAATGTGTATGGAGCGGATCCATGTCTTTTTGCTATTTTTGCATTTGTTGCAAGCTGTACACTAGGAACGAATAAGTCCCAATCCTTTACTGCTCCTCTAATGCTCTTTTTCAATGCATTAACTGTTGTGGAGACCCAGCGCTCGGAAACTCCGTTTCCACGCGGGTGGTATGGTGTACTAAGTCTATGATCCAGCATAGTGACTGTTGTTAGCTTCTTTATGATGGAATTGACGAATTCGGTTCCATTATCTGATTGTAAGTAACGGGGAAAACCGAAATCACAAAACACTTCAACTAACTTTTTCGCAATGGTATCAGATTGCTTATTTGGTATGGGGCGTAAAATGCAAAAGCGTGTGCAAACATCCACCATAACCATTAGATAATTATTACCAGCGAAAGTTGTTTTGAATGGTCCTGCTAGGTCTATGGCCCAATGATCACATGGTAAATATGCATGTACGGGACGTAGAGGATGATATCCTGCTTTTGTAATATTGAACTTTTGACACTCAGGGCATTTCTTTACGATCAATGCTGCATCTTGATAAATAGTGTTCCAATGTATGCCGTCACTGTGCAGGGCTTTTGCTATTGCCTCTGCTCCGAAGTGTCCGAATACATGTGTTTTTTCCAATAGATTTGTTCTTTCTTCAATTGGCGGTTCTAACATATCTTTGTATGGTGATTCTCTGTTGGTTAAAACCTTTTGAGCTGTTGTTTTATCCAGCATTCTTTTTAACGTATAGTTCGGTTTCTGTTGTGCTTTGTGATCAGTTCTAGCAGCTGCAGCTCTAGTTACTGCTCTTTGTAATATTGTTGCTGGTTTAGATTGTTCTAAGCTTAGCTGATCCTCATCACCCCCTTCCAGCTCTTTATCCGTCGGAAAAAGGCGTGACAACTGGTCAGGTAAGATGTTGGCTAAACCAGGTAGATGTACAATATCGAAGTCATATTCGAGAAGTGTGTCAAACCAACCAATCATCATTGCATTGGCTATTTTTTGTGTATGCAAAAAAGTGAGGGCGCGATGGTCTGTTAATAGGGTAAATTTGGAACCCCAGATCCATTTATGCCATCGTCGTAAAGCTACAACGCAAGCTAGCAGTTCTCTGCGGGTTACGCTATAATTCCTTTCTGATTTAGAAAGTGCTCGTGCAGCAAACCCAATATGACGAGTTTCGCCATCAATTATTTGATATAAAGCACTGCCAATGCCCACATTGGAAGCATCAGTGGCTAGATAAAATGGCTGGCTCATGTCTGGATAACGTAAAATGGGTGCTTGTAAAAGTATTTTGCGTAAGGTATCAAACGCATTTTGATGCTTATTATTCCATAGACGTACAATGGATCCAGCATTACGAAGTGCATCCAAAGGTGCAGTTATGTGTGATATCTTAGGGATATGGTCCCTAAAATAATTCACAACACCTAGAAACCGTTGTATATCTTTGCCCGTTCTAGGTATAGGCCATTCGTGCATATTTGATACTTTGCGTGTGTCTAGTGTAACACCTTGATCAGAAACGCAAAATCCCAAAAGATATACAGATCTTTGAGCAAAATGGCATTTGTCGGGGTTTAAGATGAGATTGACCTTGGTCAATGCTTCAATAGCTTGTGCCACATGTTCGCGATGTTCTTCCAAGCTCTTGGAGAAGACAACAACATCATCCACAAAGCAGTTCACGTGCTCTTGCTGCTGGCTATATACCAGATGCATCACGCGCTGGTACTTATTGCTCAAGGGCTTTAATCCGAACGGAGCTCCGGCAAAAGACCATTGACGGTTTTGGAAAGTAAAAGAAGTCTTATGACGATCATCAGGATGTATCTGAAATCGGTGAAATGCATTTTTCAAATCGAGCGTTGTGAATACAGTTGCTCCTTTCATTTTATGAAATATATCTCGGATGAGAGGTAGAGGATAACGATCATCCGGTAGTAGCTTATTGATATGCCTTGGATCTAAGCAAGGTCGCTTGCCAGTGTATTTGCCATTGGCATCTTTTTTGGAGCTAAAGTTAAAGGACTATTCCATGCGGTATTTACCGGTGCTGGCTCAATAGTGCCATCTTCTGCCCACTTTCGAATTTGTTCTTCTATTATTTTTTCTGAAGCCACAGGTAGATCATATTGTCTTCTGTAGGAAGTAACACCTGGTGGTGTTGGTAGTTCAACAATTGATTCTGGTACTGTGCAGAATGATGTTTTCGGAATTGCCGCATTGGCG